AAGAAAAGTGTGGACATACTACTGGTGTGTTTTCTAAGTAAATTATCAATTATCTGATTATACTTATCGACGGTGTTTATAACTAGCTAATTGATATCAAACTAAGCAATGCTGGTCTTTTTCTAACTTAATAATTAAGAAAGAAGAAAAGCCGTTAGACAATAATATGATCAATTACCTAATCATTTGTACATGGCTGTTCTATTCACTCCCGCTGTTCTTTCTAAATTAGACGTTATAATCTAATAAAATCATGGCGTGTTTTATAATGATAGAATTAGCTGGTCGAGTATAAACAGAACTTTACTTCCTAATAAAATTAACAAAGTGGATCGAGGCGAGAAATCATCCTAAATATCTGCAAAGTTTGACATAAAACAAACGGCCATGTTCTCAATTCTGTTCATAGTATGGGCACTGTTTATTTTATATTACAAAATTCATTTAGTGTACAAAGATATGTATAGGAATGTATATTGTAGTGCAAAATACAGCATATATAGGTCGTTATAAAAGATAAGGTTTAGCATGATATTGTCATTGATATTTCGTGTTTTAGACATAGAGGCTATGCCATGCTGAAACAAGTCACTGCCGAATCCTTACTTGAAGTGGCATTTGAAGTCATTTAAACAGTTATCAAAAAACACAGTAAAAACTTATAATAAATGTTAACAAATTATACGTTAGACGTTTATTCAATATTTGAAACCTATTATTTCAACTTCAATTTTAGACACTATAATAATGACATTTCTTTCATTTTAACCAAGTACTGTTGAGAAAATTATAAATTATAGTCATTTTCATCAATATTTGTGGCATTCTGTCAAAATTAAACCCCATCTTCTGTACTTATCAAATCTATTGGGTACCTGGAAAGTTTACAATTATTTTTTTAAACTAAATACAAGAATTGTATAATATATAATATAAAATGTTACTTGTCGTATCCAACGGGGAATAATTTTTTAATTATATATTGAAGAGGTAATTTTTTTTTTGTCCCATGTCAGATTAATCTAAACATTTGATTCATTTAAGTCATCATAATTATATGTTCCTTCAACCAATATAATTGTTTGTTTCATGAGTGATGTTATTTTTACAATATATACATGTATTTCTACTATATCAACCGGAATGAGTTGCTGTCAATTAAAGCCATGTCATTTTCATAAGCTTACTTGGTCTTTTATGTACGATCTACATACCAGGCAAGGTAATATACGCCCACTGGCAGCTTTGATGTTGAATAAAAATATTTAGCAGTACAGTAACAATCACCAGTATGAAATATTCAACCTTCAGTCATACACTTCTTTTGAACTCTTTAGCGTAATACTGAATAATATTGAGTATGAGTTATTGCCCTTGTTCTTGAAAATGTGTTCAATTTTAAGCTCATGAAAAATCTCGAAGGCAAACGAGCTAAAAATTGAATTCGTTCTCAAGAACAGGGGTATTAAGTCCTACTAAATATTTTTCGATTCTTCTGATTTTCGATAGGGTTCATCCTTGGGTGATAACGAACACTCACACCAAGTTTCATCAAAATTCGTCAAGAATTGTGCCTTTGAGAGTGTTCACCAGCTAAAAATTTAACGCATTCTCAAGAACAGGGGCAGTTAACTCCTACTAAATATTTTTTGATTTTTCTGATTTTCGATAGGGTTCACCCTTGGGTAATAACGAATACTCACACCAAGAATTGTGCCTTCGAGAGTGTTTACGAGCTAAAAATTGAACTCGTTTTCAAAAACAAGGGCAATAACTCATACTAAATATTTTTTGTTTTTTAATAGGCTTTATCTATTTACGAGCAATTGTGGACGGACCGACAAACGGACGGCAATATACGCCCCCATTTCATGTGGGCGTATAAAAAGCATTCTTGTACAATTGATAGCTTGCCACGTCGGAACTGTTTTTTCTTTTAAATTGTGATTTTAGGATTAAGACAACCAGAGCGACGCAAAAGTTCCATTTCAGTGGGATCAGTTATATAAAAACATTTCTTGTGAACGCGATAATTTGAAGAAACGTTGTTTGTTAATGAATCAAATAATAAGAATATGAACTGCAACTGTGTTATTATTGTCCTTTTAAAATACCATCTTGTAAACCTACCACGTACAACTTGGTGCCAACCGCTTGACAGCGAATCAGAATATGTTCCTTTTGGTATCGGTGCTCGATGTTTTAACATCACGATATATTCTCGTTATCAAAGACTAATAGTTCCCCTTTGCAGACCATATACGCCACAATTCAATTCATCCAATCAGCAATTTAGTTATTTGCAGTAAAGGATAGTGATTGAAAATGATGAAACGTGGTATGCATTTGAAGGTCGGCTGAAAACAAGTACATTCATTAAATGAATTATGAACATAAGAACTGCACACTGTAGTGTTATTATAATGATTGCCATTGTACCTGATCATCTATATCCACCAGTATATTTATGCAAAGCCTTTTAGTGGATCAGAAACCGGGCGTTTTGGCTTTTGACAGAAGATAGGTAAGGCTGCAGAAGAAACTATTTTCATTTGTGCTCTGGAAACTAACACAGATGTTTTGCCGTTTTGGTATATTCATCGGTCATTTTAACATTAACTAAACCTTTCACTTTCAGAATGTAGATTTGATACTGAAAATTCAAATATTGTCCCAGAATAATTTGTTAAAAGGAATCTAATTGGTTGAATACTATTTTTAAAGCTGCTATTTCAATTCTGATAAAAAGATAGTGGACCACAGCCATATACGCCCACCGCGGCGTGCGGATGGTAAATATTCAAGATTTTGGGGCAAGGGCAATAACTCTGCTTCTAACGGTCGAAAATAGCCCAAATTCGAGCGTTTACATGCAATTGATATACAGCACTTACTGGATAGAGGTTAAAGGGCTATAACTCCTCAAAACTAACGTAAGATGCCTTAATCTTGAACAAGCCTTAAATTTAATCAGTAGTAAACTGAACTTTCTCAAACCTTTCGATTTAGGTCAAATAACATCCATTTTAAGTTTCATCAAAATCAGTTGAAAACTAAGAGAGTAATAGCATATTCAAGATTTTGGGGCAAGGGCAATAACTCTGCTTCTAACGGTCGAAAATAGCCCAAATTCGAACAATATACGTCAACATAGAGAGATGTGGGCGTATAGAAATAATGGACGAAATTAAAAAAACTTTTACTTTGCTCAGCCAATAGTATGTTATGATCATAATAACTCTGGGTAACTTCAGCTCCTGATTAATTCCCATTCTATATGTAACCTCCTTAAAACAATTAGAAAAGACCGACGAAGTTAAACGGATATTTATTAAAGAGAATTAGTTATTATATTTCAGATGAACGCTAGGTAAAAACGCATCAACATTAGCTTGTGAATGCGACACAGAAGACACTTTAATCCGATTCAACTGAAATATTTTTGTTGGTTGTTATAAACTGTTTCAATTACAATGTTGAATGAGCAATAATCCTTCAACTGAAATTTTAAGCAGTTTATCAAACGCCTGTCATTTCGCTTTCGGTTTGATTAAAAGTAAACAATCAATAATTGTGTGAATGACGATGTGACAAACGAACATTAAACCAACTTTCCATTTTTTAGGTTACTGCAAACAAGTCTCAAGTGTGGTCGCATCCAATGATATTATAAAAAATAAATTTTGTCATTTCCATAATTTCTACAAAGCAATTAACAAGATATAAATTTTCCCTTCCATCTTAATGACGGTATATAAAGTTTTCTATTGAATCATGAAAAGTCAAGTTAACACGTTTGTTAATGTAATCCACTCTAAGATAATTTAAAATGGTGTTAACGTGAAGACGAGCTTGTCTTTCTTTATAGAATCACTTCGTACTTGTCGGGAATAACAACACCATCAAACTTGATTAAATTACTTAAGTTAAACGTGTTAGAAGCATATATCACCCAACATCAACATCAGTTTAAATAATTTATTGAGGTATAAGAGGGTTTGGGTTTTCCTAATTTACACCAAGGCTCATCTGCTCTCAACCATCATAGGACATCGTCAAGCTAACACCCGCTTAGACCGCGTGATGTACGCGAGCTTTAACATGATTGGTGGGTGTCAAGCTAAAATTGTTTGACACGTGCTTCTAGCGCCATGTCGCCTAATCTTACAAGATTTCCAATATAATGACTTTATACTCTATCTTTCCACTTTAGTCTGTGTGCAAATAAGACTTTAACTGAGATGTGGGTCTAAGTTAATTCGCGTTATATTAGATTCATTAAAATTTCATCAGGCAAAGCTTTCAATATGGATTCAGTGTGACATTGCATCCACAGGGAATTTTATTCTAGTACCACCAATTTTCTTCGCTTTAAAATCAACACATCTTTTCTTATTAGATAAATTGGGTTTTAGTAAGAAAACAGAAGCGTCAACTAAATTTAGTGTCTTTTTATGAGAATAAACCTCGGGTATATCCTTGGTTAAGGAGAGAAAGACAAGACAAAGATATCAGTAATTCTGTACACGAATATTGACAAAAACTTCAAAAAAAAAATTAATAATAACCCAGTGTTTTAGATCAGTGGTGTTCTCGAACTGTGTTCACGCTTAAGAATTAATACAATGATTCCATATTCAGCCACCTAGATCTTAATGCGATACGATACAACCAAAACTAAATTCCCATTCAGAAACTAAGCACATTTCTCACCAAATATTTTTCACAAGAATAATTGGTAAAAGTGTACAGTTTTGATCATATGGAATTTGCTTACACTAATTCAGTCACAAGGTGAATTGTTCGCAGAAATTTGGTCACAAGTAGGAGCATTATAATTTATAAAGGCCTAATCAAACCTGCAAAGTAGTGGCAAATTACGGCCTCAAAACAGCAGATCAATCGTGACTTTAGCCTCTAGTAACAAAAAGTCGAGGGTTGTATCTAGACTTAGAAATCGGCGTCAATCATTCTTTTTCAGCTTTTTTTTCTTTTTTAATCTTGGTCTTTTTAGGCGATTTTTTAAACGCACTTGGACAAATATTTTGATTTAAACATTCAGCACATCTTGGTGTAACAGGTAAACAAATAGTTTGACCAAATCCAACTAGTAAGTGGTTCGCCTCTCTCCATAATTCTCTGGAATAAAATATATTCATCACTGATCGGTAATTACATGGACGAGTTTCAATATAATATTTAACAAAATGAACTAATTCCAATTAAATACAAATCCGGATGTTTCGTTTCATGTTTTTCTAGAGCGTGCCTCCATTTGCTAACCATGATCTGAAAATGTCTTATATATCTCATGTTCGAGGTCATATAATATAATTCATATCAAACCAATGCAACTGGAATATTCGTTTAGTCCCCGCGACACAAGGACTGCGGTGTGTAGACGACTGTATCAGTTTATGTGTAAGATACATAATTGTCAAATCTTTGCAGATTTAAAGCTAACCAAGATCTTGAAAAAGATATATTAGACTGAAAACCTAATTTTATGAAAATTCAATAAAAACTATGGTCTTTTTGTGCTTACAATCCAATTTTAAGACATTTTCATATATCACAATCTGTACCTCAGATCGATGTTATCAAAATAAAAATATGTCTAATGTTTTTTGTCTCCATTGTACTTCAAAAGCGCGTTCAAAATCTTATAAGCCTACAAACCAAGTCTGATAAAAAAAAAATCAGACAAACCATGACTTCTATTCCTGTTATCACATGCAACTAAATTAACGTATTTCGGTATTGGGATAAAACTGAATTATTTGTTTAATAGTACCGAAAATGAAAATGTGTCGTGATCCTGATGAGATAAACTCATTGGTTTGACCAAACTTTCGTTCCGTTTTCTTGCTTTTATAGCCACTTCAGTTAGGGTCTAACGACAGCCCACTTGAACGTTCGTCAAATTAACTTTTTGACCTAACCTGACAAACACTGCCAAGCAAACGTCATCGAGTTAGGTCAAAATGTTACCTTGACAAAGGTGAAAGACTGGCGCTCACTAATAACGCAATGTAACACCAAATATCCCTATAGCCCTTGTGTTTTCGAAATCTTCATTTGACATTAGGAATAAGAAAGTCAAGCATTCTTAATCAATAACAACATTAATCATAACGTGGGGTAAATAATAAGATATACCATTTTAGTCCTAAAAATTTCGATTTATCAAACAGAAATGTATTGCAGGAAACTATTTTCTTTTGACTTGTTTTTTCTGTGCATCAGATATATATGATCTGGATGGAGTCATATATTCTTAGCTAAATAATCTACATGTAATGAAGAATGTCCTTTGAATTGATTCAAGGGTAGAATACCAGATGTGACAAACTATTTATATACAATAATAATTACCTTGGTAACCAGTCTTCTAGAGCCTTCCTTGTTTCTTCTGGTTGATTGGTTGTTTTACGAACCCACTGCAACCTGTTTGAGATTCTATGTACGTGAGTATCTACACCTATTCCAGTTAAAGTATTCCAAGCACAGTTCATGACTAAGTGGGCCATTTTGGGTCCCACACCTGGTAAACTACATAGATCTTTCACAGTATTTGGTATATCGCAGTTATATTCATCTCTTAATATTTCACTTGTCTTTTTTATAAACACTATCTTTTTCTGAATTGAAACAAATACTTAAAATTGAATAAAGGAACCATATTTAAACTTACAATTCCCCCAAAAATACAAAATTAAGAAAGCAACAATATTGTCAACGAAAACTGATAAAAGCCTATCAGTGTGTCTCGCACATTCTATGGGAGGTAACCGCTAAAAATAACTAACATACTACAGACTACAACTATTTATTTTCCAGACTATGTTTTCCAGGTTCGTCCCAATACTAAATTCTTTATTTTTCACATAGAATTCATTTGGGCAGTTAACATCAGATTGTTGTAAGCAATGCAATGCAATACAATACAGAATAAATAACTAAGAGACTTTTACCTCTGTCTACAGTAAGGTTCAAGATCAATTAAAAACTAAATACCTTCCAAAAACCAACAGGATATATTAATTCACCAAGTTTTTGATCTGATGTTTGTAAAATATTTTCTACACTACAGCCATGTTGTCTGAGTCTACCAATAGCTGCTGAAGTTATCTGATCTTTAGTCTGGCTAGATAACATGAGAGAAAGTAACACTTGATATCTAAACACCTGGATAATAGAGAAATAATAAAATGAAACACTGATGAAATGCATATATGAGCTTATGATAAAAGAATATTATATAACTGGTTAATGATACAGTGTAGCAAAATGAAATGAAATTGAGTCTATAGTCCTATTTTCTTGCACCTGATTGGGAAAATAAGGTCAGAAAATACCATCCATGCAATGGACCATGGAAACATTATGGAAATTTTACCAGGACAGCTGCATTCAGTACTCTTTTGTAAATTCCCACTGGCACATGAGGCCTCAGTTTAAATAACTCGATATTTTTAATTTTTCCATGCCACTTCAACATGCATGTCCTACTTGCAGCACTAATGTACTCACTTACAAAATGTACTAGTCACCTACATTTGTATCTTAATACATCACATAAAATGACTTTAGTTTTAATGCAATAAAATCTGCATCAGTTACCACATCTTAGTCCAGGAACAAATAAATGTCATTTACCTTTGGTTCAGCTTTATGGTCACTGATAACATCACAACCCATAGAGTCGACAGGTGCATCAAAATTCTTCCTCATTTCTCTAATATTAATAAGAGTCTCATACCACAATGGTGGTTGCCATTTATCTGTTTTAATAAGTTGTCCATCAAAATCTTTGTTTTCTTGCTTGATAACACTTTCAAAGTAAGCTACATCTGCATCAGTTTTAATTTCTGAATTTGTGCATTCTTCTGTGTCTTTTGGCTCACTTTTAACTTTTAGTTCCTTCTGATCATATTCAATTTGCACATGTTTTCTTTTGTTACAAACATGGCTCTGCAGATTCTTGGAAACAATATCAATGACAACTCTACTTTCAGTTTTTATAGCAACCATTTTTTGTTCAGTTTTTAGTGAGTCGCTGACTTTACTCTTTTTCAGCCTAGGCTGTTGAATATTTGCAGTCAGTTTGCTTGTTGGATTATTCAATGAAGCTCGTGTAAAGTATTTTGAATGTGACATCGTTTTCTGAATGAAATATCGAAGAGAAACGACATTAATGTTCTTGAACATTGAAATACATGTATTAATCAGAGGCCATGTTTTTGTATGTGACTATCCAGACGCTTTGTATATAGGACTCACTCCACTAAAACATTAATGTAGTCCAGGCTATTTTTAGAAATCTTCTTTCTCTCTCCCTTTTGGGGTTTTTGCCTTCCTATTTTTGGGTAAAATTTTGTCTAGATTTGGAATTTGATGTCTGAAATTGCATTATCATTCAGATTTGGTGAGATGATGAGAGACCTAAAGGCGGAAGGCTAATTCTAAAAATAGTCGTTTTGTGAAGTGCCAAACTCTAGCGGATGAGTATAAACGGTAGTAGTCTACTTTCAATTTTAGCAGCTCAAAATTTTCATGGTCATCATATAATGAATTTTTTTAGGAGACATTGAGAATTGGTCAGGCTTTCATTCGACATATTGGAAAACTTTCAATGAGATTTCTGAAAAAAGTTATAGAAGGTTGAATTTCGTGTTTTAACATGGGAAGAGATGGCAAATGAATTAGTGGAATGAGTCCATATAATGAATTTTTTAGGAGACATTGGGAATTGGTCAGGCTTTCATTCGACATATTGGAAAGCTTTCAACGAGATTTCTGGAAAAAGTTATAGAAGGTTGAATTTCGTGTTTTAACATGGGAAGAGATGGTAAATGAATTAGTGGAGTGAGTCCATATAGGCTATAATAAATAAACGAGTCTGAAACTCTTCTGTTAAAAAAGGTCAATAAACACACGGTCACACAAACCGGTTTATTTTATCACATGACCTGAATGTCACGTGAGAATGATAGTCAAGTTTTGTCAAGAGAAAGTCGTTCAAATAAATTGATTAATCAACTAACGCATGATTTAATCACATGCTTAAGATAGAGACTTAAATGTATAAAGATTAGGTGAATTGTTTTTGATTGAGACTGTTGAAGAAAGGAGGCACAGTTGAAGGAGGATATACCGTTTCGACAAAGGAAGAAAAAAGTAAAAACTTCCGTTCCAATAAGTTCCAAGGCAAGGTAAAACAGAAACTGAAAGTGATATGATGATGAAGTTTATGTTTGGTGTCACAGTTTTGTCCATTTTTGGACTATTTATCTTTGTTAATGCAGCAGTTCCAGCAGATATGATCTCAAGCATGCCAGGATTGAAGGTTCAACCTAATTTCAAACAATATTCAGGATATCTTAAGGCCTCAGGTACTAAGAAATTACATTATTGGTTTGTGGAATCTCAGAGAAACCCTAAAGAAGATCCCTTAGTTTTATGGATGAATGGTGGACCTGGATGCAGTTCAGTGTTAGGTTTGTTAACAGAGCATGGCCCATTTAGAATTATGGATGATGGTAAAACAGTATATTATAACAATGCTAGTTGGAATTTACTAGCTAATATGATATACCTAGAAGCACCAGCCGGTGTTGGTTTCTCCTACTCGGATGATAAAAACTACACTACATCAGATGATATGGTAGCTCACAATAATTACCTAGCTCTGAAAGATTTTTTCTCCAAATATCCTGAATATTCTTCCAATGCATTCTATGTAACAGGGGAGAGTTATGGTGGTGTGTATGTTCCAACTCTCAGTGCTCTTGTGGTGGATGATAAAGATATTAATTTTCAGGGTATGGTTATTGGTAATGGTATAACTAGCTATGATTTAAATGATAATTCTTTGATATACTTTGCCTACTATCATGGTTTGTTTGGTGAGAAATTATGGGATGGCTTGGTAAAGTATTGCTGTAATGGTAATTTCAGTGGGCAGTGTATGTTTACTAAAGGCACCTCAACAGAATGTAAAGAGTATGTGACTCAGGCTAGTCAGTTGGTATATGCCAGTGGTCTCAATATCTATAATTTGTATGGAGAATGTGCAGGTGGAGTACAGAAATCCAGTCTTAAATTTGATGCAGTAAAAGAGAAGATTGTGTCCCATAATTTTGGTTGGTTGTTATCAAATACTGACTTTATCAGAGAAGAGTTTCAACTGACTAAACAGTTAGTTAAATCTAATAGACTTCTATTAGATCCACCTTGTATTAATGCCACCAATGTTGCTACTTATTTAAATACAGTCCAAGTACGAACAACTCTTCATATTCCATCAGTTGTACAGAAATGGACATCATGTAGTGGAGAAGTTGGTGCTAATTATATCCGAGATTATATGGAAATGTCAGCACAGTACAAGAAAATTCTAGCAGCCAAGAAAAGAGTAATGGTGTACAATGGTGATGTTGATATGGCATGTAATTTCCTTGGAGATGAATGGTTTGTAGAAAATCTAGAAATTGATGTGGTAGCTGAGAGATTAGAATGGTTTTATGAGGCTGAGGATGGTTCTAAGCAAGTTGCAGGATTTGTGAAACAGTTTAAAGATTTAGATCTTGTGACGGTTCGTGGTGCTGGTCATATGGTACCCACTGATAAACCTTTACCTGCTTTTCAAATGTTTAAAAATTTTCTTTCCATTAAGTTCAAAAAATAAATGTGTTTTGTGATAAATTGTTGGCCTACTCAGTTTAGAAATTATCCATAGTCCCAGTGCAGATAGGACTCTATTCCATAAGAGATGTTCAGTATTTTGTACATTTCATATTTAAGGATATGCACATTTATTTTGTAAATAATAGTACATGGTAGGACATATAACAATCACCAGAAAGTGAGTCAATGCGAAAAATTTGTTCCACACAGATGCCAGTATATTATATCACTTCATTTTTGTAAATAAATAATGGGACTTAAAACTCCATTCTTTTCATTAAATAATGTATTTAATTGAATTTCCTGTGTTATTGTCTATTTGTTATGTAATATAATATTATATAATTATTAATAAAATGTCCAAGAATTTACTACACAATGATTTCAGGGATTTCTAAAATTTCATTTGAATCAACCAATCTCTGGGCCCCATCACTACTACACGCGTTTTGCCAGTATACTCTGTGACCCTTAATCCATGAATGTGCATTAAGTCTTTGATAAGCAGCAAGAAGTTAGTTTAGGTAAATTGAACCGAAGCGCTGACATGACATAAATGGTGTTTCCGGAGTATGATTAAACTACAAACATAACTATCTCTCAGAATATATCAGTTTGGTGGATTCAAGGTAAATAAGTAGAGTTCCAAATGCTATGCATTGTCTTTTTAAAGAAGAGGCTTAATTCACATTTAAAATTTTTATTGAAATATTGTTCATATCATAAAAAAAACTGGCATTGAAATATTGTTATATAAAACACGATAAAAGGTTTAAAAGGATGAGTTTTATGACATGAACAATATGATTTCTTGATGATACAACACAAAAAAGCTAACAATAAGGCCTCAAAAAGCAGGGACAATGAAAAAATGGTCTATGAAGGCCAATCCTTTCGACAGGACACAAAAATATATCAATAAGGTTGAGCACTAATGTTCACCTGTGTTCCTCATTGCAATCAGTTCCTGAAAACATTGGAAATATTTATTTTTAAAGGAATTGGCCATTAAGTGTTGAGCATGGATTTCATTTAAAATGAAGATAAACACGAAATGTTGTAGTTGATTGAAATGTTATAAGTAAAATATGTCCCACATCACATCCAATATTGCATATGCACATAGAAACAACATCATTGAATATAAATTAGAAAAGATATCGGAATGAACATTATAACATTGAATGTTTATTATTATAACAACAATAGTGATATATGAACAACAATTAATCTAATAATGAAATACCACTTAAAATATGAATCTTATTGTGAAGTGATTTCTAAAATACATACTACTCAAACCTTCAAGCTATTTTCTATAAAAATTGAAATACAATTTAAAAAAATTTGTCCTTTGTAAAAATTTATTACGACCACTGGCATATGTACTCCTACATTTGTAACAAATGAAAATTAATGACCCCGCCCTACTAACTGAAATGAGCAAAATGAAAAATGATGGATGCACTACAACTACAGTTCATTGCACTAAAATGTGTAAATACAAGGTCAAACAATTTTTATTGAATTCACCAAAATACCAGAGTGTGTGACGCCAAATCTAAATATTGACTAGGCTTGGTGAACTTTGACCTTTTAATACATTCAAAAAAAAAAAATATGAGCACTGTTTTTAAATAACTACTAGAATCTAAGACATTAAATATACAGAAACAAAAAGATGGATCATTACATTCCCATAAAGACCAGCATTCCACACTGAGCATAAGGTTCTTGAATGCATTGAGATATATATTAGAAATTAAAAGAACAATGTTTTAATAAACTAACTTTCATGACATAACTGTATGACAAAAGACTCAACTAATGCAATTCTGAAGCAATGTCATGAATTTTAATTTCATGTTTGTTTGAAGTCAGTAATATTCAGTTTTCTGTTATGATTTCTTTATTTGTTTTACCATTATCCATCATTTTTGTTTCTTCTTTTATTTTCAAATCTGATAACTTCTCTGTTACTTCAGTCGTCTATAATATAGATAAAAAAAACACAAAATTATTGGTATTAAAGTAACAAATTTCCTGCAAGCTCAGTTGCAATCATTATTTTTCTGTGCTGGTCTTGTTCTGTTGACATACTATGAGAACATTTCAACTCAAAACAGATTTCAGTTCAATATGGTCATACCTTTTTCAGCATAAAAGTCAAGATAATTTCTTTATTTAAGGTATCATTTATAAGGTACACTACAGCATAAATATATATAGGTGAATTGATTTAATGATAATAATGAAGAAAGGTGGTTGAAGCCAAGGAAATTTATCAAAGCTAACTGATACAAGTCAGTTTTTATTATTTCAATTATTCATATACATTCAGACATTTAAGTACAGATTTTTTGCATTTTTGGTATTAATACAGCTGGCAAGTTAATCAGAAATTTTTATATTTACAATTGTTAATAAGACATGAAAGATGATAACATATAAGCAATAACAAATATTCAGAGTAACAGAAATGTATGATGAATAACATGAAAATTGAAATGATGATCCGACAATGAAAGGTGTCATGTGAATTCTAAACCAAAACAAGGACAGACAATTAATCAAACATTATTACCCGGGGACGTCATCTCACCTCAATTATCTTGGTAACAGTGGCTTTAGTATCATCATCAATATTTTTCAAGTCTAAAAGGGAGGAAACCATAGCAACCAAATTAAGCAAGTGCACCAAATAAAAGCAAACAATTCAGAAAAAAGTGCCAAGAAGCCAAGGTGAAATAATAGCAACATAGGCAAATAATTGAAATGTAATATATTTCAGAAACAAAGTATCAAAGATGAAAAAGAAGTTATGAAAACCTATAAAAATACCCAATTTAAAAGCATAACACAATTTCATGTCCAGGAAAATGAAATGTTGGTATGTGAAGAAAATGAAACACGGGACATAAGACAATGGAAATAAATTAGTTGAAATCTGATGCATACTTTTTTAAAAATATCAAAACTAAAAAGGAAATTTTTTCAGAGGTTGAAATTTTTTTTCGAAAACTATACACCAAAACCTATAGAAATTTGTCTGAAAGTTTTAACTAAATTCTTGTAGTTCCCTTTTAACACAAAAACTATTTTAAAATTTTATTCAAACCCTTTTTTGATTATGAACATTTTACATATTGCCCCTTAAAGTAAACTGTTATAGATTGTAACTGAACCACCAAGGATAAGTTGCTATATGAAAGAAGTATGCATAAGATTTATATCAGTATACAAGTTATTATTTACCTCCGCCTCCTGTTCCACTGTCACCACCCCCACCACTATGATTATCACTACCACCTGTTGTTTCTGTCACATCACTAGATATATGTCGTGACACTGATGTTGTCACCTCTCTTACACTAGATGTGACACTAGATTCCATTGTTGACATAACTGTAGATGAATATGTTGTAACACTCTGTATAACATTAGATGCATCTGATGAGGCTGTATTAGCCGCATTTTGAACCATGTTTGTGATTGTGTCCTCTCCTTCAGCACTAAAACAAAATTCAATTTGCTACATTCTTTTTTTGTTGCCAGAGAGCTATATTGAGCATATTGATCATATTTAAGCTAAGCAAAGCAGGAAAAGAATTGCTTTTAAAAAAAACAAACATTAAGCAGTGTGTTTAGGACAATGAAATGCTGTGAAATCCTAAGTATCATCTTTAAGTTAGTATATATAAATATATTCCATGCACCAATAATAGGATATCCCAACATCGATATGAGACTAGTATAATCATAGTATAGAATAAATAACAGACAATATGCTATATATAGTGTTGCCAACACAATAACTGTGAATAGTGATCATTTTAAAGTGTCCAATAATAGCAGATCTCTAAAATCTGAGGCAAATTGAAGTGGCAGCTGAATTTCTTAACATGTGAATAATGAAACTTACGCCACATCTCTGATACTATCAACTGTTATATCACCAGTAGTATCACCTCGTGAATCATTGTGTTGACTATCATCAGCTAATCCAATAGTTATATCAGCTGTACTGTAATTAGCAGCATTCCTAATTAATAAATAATCATGACACTATCTACTACATCTATACTATATCTAACATGCAAGGATAGAATGATAGAATATATGAGTGAAAGTATTAAAATAAGAATAACCTGATACATATGTTAACAAAGGAAGTTAAATTGTGTTATATTACAATTTATACATAATAAGATCTAAATGAAATGAATGGAGTTTTGAATAGCGTTTTAACAATAAGTTCTAAATATTCAATATTTTTATACTAAATACTTCACCCATATAGGTTGATAATTGAAGGTAAAATATGAAAATGTAAGAGCATAGAAGTAAATGATCAGAAAGACTTTGAGACATCATAGAAGAGAAAATTATTCCTCTCAGCAAAATTACCTTTTTAAATAAAATACGATTTAGTAATAATACTAAAATATCAAAAACTTCGAAAATTTTAAAAATCAAAACAATTTAATTCTAAAAAACATTTTATTTTGACATAATAACTTTAACTGTCAAATATAATTACAATAAGATGAACAGAAATAATAGAAGTAACAGTCAAACGAAAAGATGAAGAAATAATAGGCAATGAAGCATGCTATATGGTTTGTAAATAATAGGTCTAACTATGTTGATTATTGAAATTGAATAAACTTACTCATCAATATGTTCTGCCTCAGGTTCAGGATCTGGTCTCATACCATCTTTCAACTCTAACATACCAAGTGCTAATGTGACATGACGTGGGCTTAATGTAATACGATCAAACTCAGATGATGATTTCAAATAGAATGCTTGACCATCTTTAGTGAAGATAAATGAAGCTATACCACTGTAAGAAAATAAATTCTATATAAACTACACGTAGATGTTTTACAAAATTACTTTCAAAAATTTAGTTACTGCAATTTCTTTAAATGTCATTGGACATTTACTTAAGGTGACAAAGTTCACATGCAATATCTAGATGAAGACCTACTTGATATCTTCCTTTTTAACAGCAGGAACATGCATTTGTTGTCTTAATGATGTGATGGAATAAACACTTATTTCACCTAGATTACTTAAACAGGCTATATCAAATTCACTGTAGTTATCAGCTGAAAATAGATATTAGGTAAACATGCAAGTTAAATTTTCAACTTACATACTTCTCAATACTGTCGAAAGCTGTCAGTAATTAGAATGTAAAGTATTTGTTAATCACTTATAGAAAGTTTACTCTCATTTATTTTCAAAATTTCTACCAAAATACTCAAGAACTCACCACTTTTACTTCTAAAATTAACAAAACCTATTCTTCTTATTCTGGACCCATCATGAGCTGTGATTTTAGATTTCCATTTAGGTTTTAATGTTGGTAATGTGAATGTCTGAAAATAAAAAATGGCTGTTAGCAAAAAAATATCTTTTCAGACTAAGACATCCTGATATTTGTAAGAACTTTCACATTGTTTTCAAAGTCTAGACAGACATTTAATCTCTTAACATCAAAACACTTTGAAAAACCCATCAAGAAAGTGTACAGACCTTTAGTTGTTCTTCTGAACAGATAATAACACTGTGTGATCCAGACATATCTGGTGCCTTGGCTTTCTCATGTTGTACTTCTAATGGATCAGGTAATATTCTAGCCCTACTATCAATAACTACCATACTTATTACTGGAGCACGATGTTTTAATTTTATTTCTTTAGCAAGTTGACAAGTTACAGCATAATCAGGTCTCTTATCACTACTAGGTATAGTTAAATTATAAATATAAACATGTCCACCATTGGTACCAATCCACATAGATGGGTTGTTAGGAGCACCTGTAATGTACAATTATCAATTTTCATAATTTCAAGTTGTACCATATACTTTGCCTTTCAAGTTAATCTTGAAAAAAACATTGAGATGCACTTTGTCGTAATGAACGATGCATCCTATTAAGTGTATCAGACTGACAGATGACCTAGTTGTCCGAAGACGGCCTTGTTTCAAATGATAGAAATATGCCCCACTTCATTTTAAGATTTAATACGTACCATTCACTATATAAGTATCTGCAAAATAAATACATCTGACCATAGAAGACATAGAATCTTCATTACTTCTAGCTTCTATTTGTCTTTCTACTGGTTTAGGTTCTGGTGTACCAGCTACAGCTGCTGCTCCTTCAGCTGGTGTTTCAGTCTGTTCAATACCACCAGTTTCACTGAAACAATCATTTATATTATTTAATCTGGTTGTCTTTCAATAATCTTGCTGGATATATCATAAATGGGTGTTTACAAGCATAAAGACTGTTTTCACTTTAAATAAATAAGACCTCCTAAACAGTCTTGATGGTGAGTGGAAAATCAAATTCAAATCATGTAATACATGAGCTGATTATTTTGATATCTCGTTTTGACAATACTGGGTAAATTAAAATGGACATACATTTTAGCTTTGTTATCTCTAGGTCTTCTTTCAGATCTTCCTTTACGTAATCTTCGGAATGATTCTCGTAATGATTTTTTTAATGATTTACGTCGAGACATGGCGGTTTCTGATGTTCCTGTTAAATCTGGAAAAAGATAACAAAATATTTGTGATAAAGATATACTACTATAACTTTTATATTAGTCATATATGAACACTTGTCTAAATTGTTTCTATAATTTCATATCATGAATCAAACAATCTACAACTAACCTGTGGGGTTTAATGTACATCTTGATGTTACTTCTTTCTTTTGTATATAATCATATAAACCAAAACCATGAGCAGTACCAGCTCCAATACTGAAATATATATCGAAATCTAGATTTACCAATTACTCAATGGATCATTGTTATACATGTAAATTTTAATAATTGTGTGTAACCAACACAATCTGCTGCTTAAAACAGAAATTATATCAAATCAATGAAGTCACATAATGCTCACCACTTGATTCAGTAAGTGCAATACTAATTTTCGTGTATGGATTATCATGTATATTACTCGACTTACATTTGCCATTCTGAGTGTAAAGATAAAGCAGTAACAGCTGCTGGTGGATACAGTTGCATCATAGCAATAGGTTGAAATCCTGCAGCAAACTTAACATCTCCCTCTTTAGGTACTAGAGCTTCGTGTCCCTTCCATACAAAACTATCTCTATCACTAACAATATTAACAGTAGTAGATTTAACTTCCTGTTCCCTCTCTTCTCTTTCCATTTGAAAGGTAATGACTTGACCAGCTGTACCAGCTAAGACTAAAGTCTCACTTAGAGGGCATAACGTTACTTTCTGTATACTAAGCCTTGGATCATCACTGTAGGGATCAAACGTTCCAACCTAAATATAAGAAATATTTGAAAATAAGAAAGCGTTGTGCTGGAGATATTGAGATAATCTGTGAAATTCGAAAATACAAGTGTTCAGTTGCAAAAACAGTTATTATTAAAGGGGAACAGTCTGCATTTTCGGGGATTGATTTGGGTATGTGTTGTACTTTAATAGTCTTAAGAAGTACTAAGATAGCTTGCAAGGCTAGGTAACATACGCCCACTGGCAGCTGTCAGAAATGATAAAACAGTCTTTAGTGACTAAAGTATGAACTTTCTCATATTGAAGAAATTTTATTAGTTTGAATTCAATGATATATATATCTGCCAGTTATTTATGTGAGTAATTCCACAAAATTTTTAAAAATCAATATCAATAACCAGAATACAACAAATAATTAAATTACACAACTCTAATCAAGGGCAAAAAAAAAATTTATGGAATTTTAGAAAACTGAAAAAAATTAGGAATTTTTAGAATCAGGGACCTCACTAGAGAATTGAGAACAAAATTAGTAACTACTGAATGATATCAAGATTTATATTAAGAATAAACCTAGTACCTTTTTAAATGGAGGCCATTCCTCTTCCTCTTCTGCAGAATTTTGATCTCCAGACACATCACCACCAAAATATGATGCAGTAGATAACTTATATAATAGTGTTAAATTAGATGCTGAGGCATCCCAGAATCTTACTGTACCATCTTCATGACTGAAATTATAATATTACAAATACTGAGCTAACACAACTGATATCTTTATTGTTTTGTTTTATAGAAAAAAGATTTCTAAAAATGGTACAGGTATATTAAAATGCGACATTATTTATAGATTTTTATCAGCCTTCTATTGAAGAAGAAACACAAACCAAAATGAGCACAATCTTTATGTTAAAATATATACTTGTTACAAGACCAGTATTGAAGAGAAAGTTTCTAATCTTTCTACAAATACAATTAACCTGTTAATAGCATTTAATTGCTCTCACTTTACTTGTTAATGACTAAAACTATGTATATACATACCCAGTCAACAATAAATCTCTATTGTTACTGTCCTTCACATCATTTCTACCACCATTTATAGGCCATGTCTACAATATTAATATAATTTATATCAATTCTAACTCCAAAATTACTTGACAATTTCCCTACCTTCAATGGGAATCAAACTAATCCACTGCCACAAAAAGGCAATGCTCCAATCCAGACAGAACATAAAATTTATGAACCCCTTTAGAGTTTTCTATTTACATGAAATAAGAATATGTTTTCAACCTCATTAATATTTCCTGTTTATTCTTACCCTTTGTGATAGATTTTTAAGCTGTGACTCTCCCGCATCTTGTATTTTATGCCATAACTGATCTGGTACATTGTTAATATGTTGTGAACATGTGATAGCCGAGGAATGAATACTATGTAAATAGGGTAGTTTAAATGTTGGCCAGTTTACAGAATCTAAATCAATGACAACTAATTCTTCTTCAGCTAGTACTACTAAACTATGGGGTTCATCTTTATCTAAAAAATAAATTGGTCAGCTTTAACAAACACGTTTATTATCTTTTGAGGCAAATTTGTACACAAGAAGTTGCTTTTCTAGGCTATGTCACAATAAGTAAAGAAAACATTCATTGAAACTTAAGAGACTTTTTCAATATACATAATACTGTGTATATAGTGTTGTGAAATTCTAATGAAAACTGTACTCTTTATCTGTTTGCAAGCCAATTTTAAGGTATTTCAGCCAAATCAAGGGAAATAAACAATTAATCTGCCCTGAGATCTGATCAATATACATAAGAATATCAAATTCATATCAATCTGTAATATGCACATTCACAAGCAAATTATGACAGACAGCGATATAAAATAGAAGTTGAAACAATTACCTGCTCTATCTTCAACACAATCTGTTTCATCTGATCTATTTAAAGTTATAACATCTATAACACGAGATGTAAACTCAAATACTGTATGACTCTCTCCTTGCATCACAGTTACTGTATGCCTATCACCGTAACTAGCTCTAGGCATACCACCAGAAAATATCAGGAAAGGATCACTATTAAAAATACAATTTATTCATTGAGCAATGCAGTGAAACCATCAGTACATATATTGAAAAGGGCTTTAATACTTTAGGTAACTGTTTAAGAAAATAGTGATCATATACACAAAAGTTCAATCATTTCTGACCAAAACAAAGTTTAATGGGCTACTTACGCCTTAGCTGTTCTACGTTCAAATTTAGTGATAGCTTTACACGGGAATGGTCCATAAGGTGTTTGTTCATTATCAGGTTTAGAAGAATCTTCAACATTCCAAACACTGTAACTACCATCAGAATGAGCTGAGGAGAATTCTTTACCATTACGATGCCAATCTAAACTTTCCAATTGCTGTAGAAATAAAGAACTTTAAGGTGTTATTTATAAGGGCTATATGTCATCTACTTGCAACTCATTAGGACCAGTGATATATTCATTTAGGCTGTTCAGATACCTTTTTAATACTAGTAATTTCCTCAAAAAATTTATGGTTCAAAAATGAAAAGCACAAAAGAACAATTGAGTGTCAAATAAAAACTATTTTGCTCATTCATGTCTAGTCCTAAGTCATTTTCTACAAAAGAAAATATTGAAAATACCAACTGGTCTGAAGAATAAACATGGGCTTGTTTTTCTTTTCATGGTAAATAACTAAAATAAATACTAGTAAACTTCATATGACACGTCTTGGCCTCAGGCAGTTAGACCTGCTGTAATCAGCATGGGTTATAAGCCTTACCTTAATTATTTGTTTAACATGTAATAATATAGTTTGAAATGTTGACAAATCATTTATATATAGCAATCTTTTAACCAACAATTCATTTTAATATTACAATCACTCAATATGTAAGATTCATTTACAACCTCTTCCATTCATATAGAAAGGTCAAAAAGTACATGTACAGAGTTCCTTCATTTGACATCTAATTATATATGCGAATAAAATTTGTACACATATCTTACCCTAGAAACATTGTAAGTCTGGTTGGCATTGAAGTCTTTATTATCCCACAAAACTATTAATCCTCGGTTATATCCTATCAATAGTTTATCAGGATTTGTAGGATGTACAGCTATAGCTTCTACTGCTCCTGGATTCACTTTAAAATCATCTGGTACACTGCAAAATACATAGTCAAACTTATCACTGAAATATTAGTGCTGGTAGATTTTCATGTATCCATGAAGGGTAAAATAAAGTTGTAGTAATCTTAAGTTGCAGATTTACCATAGCCTTATGCATAAGAGTTCATTTTTCTGATATGATATATATATTCAAGTCATAACATAAACAACATAAAAGTTAGCAATTTTGTCCACCATCTTTTCATGAATAGACAAACACAAAATAATTAAGGATAAGGCTCAGCTTGCAACTTGAAATCAAGTTGTATAGTAGGTCTACATTCATTGTATCATTCACTTATTTCGAAAGAATACAACTTTCTGAAAGAAACTACATGTAGTTTAACTTACTTCTGCATAACAACATCTTGTTGAATAACTTGTTCACTGAGAGTAAAGGTGTTCACATCTAATATTTGTATATTACCACCTTCTGTACCTAGATACAACTGTTCACCATTAATAGATAGACAACAAGTGGATACAGCTTTATTCTTACTGAAATGTACAAGTCATCAAAAACATAGTTTTATGCTTGGGGACTAAAACCTGAAATGAAATGATTGGAATTTTACATCCTATTTTCTGCACCTGATTAAACTAATGAAGACAGGCATGCAGTTTGCAATGAGGGAAAATTTTGCAACTAAAACCAAATGATTTAACCTTTTTTTGAATAACAACTGTCAAGATATTATCTAATTTGCCGTCTGTAGCAAAAGATGCCTTGGTTTATTGTTTACTTGACGCTTTTTCCATTTAGAACCACAGCCTGTGATCCAAAGGCCTTTGAAGTTCTATCAATATTAATAAAATATGGACAATGTGGAGAAAATAGTGTAGGTAAACGTATAAGTTTAGATCTTCTAAATGGTTTAGCTGTAATTTTTCTTTTTACTAATTAATGTAGAAAAACCTAGACCTATAAAACAACTTTCTTTTCAAAATAATCAGACACAAGTTATTCTGAATTATCATGAATGAACATTTAACAGTGTTAAGAATTTTGTCCTATTCCAGACTAATCATTCACTAGACAGATCTATGTCAAAGTATCAGATTACCCTCTTAAAAAGTGGTATATGTATATACCAAAAACACATGGTGACATTCTTTGAATACTTCATCTTCCAATGTTTATTACTTCACTTTCAACATTTAATACATTATCTTTTTTATGTGTGAAAATATCAACATCATAGGGCAATTTCAACTGTTTTCTTGTTTAAGAACCTATGAAAAGTGGCCTTGTTTTTACAGCAGTAATATAGTCAGGGTTCATACAAGTCATATAAGCAAACTTTCCAGACTTTTCCTGACAAATTTCAATCATTTTCCGTGACAAATTTTATAAAAACAATTTTTATTTCTTTGGCTGCCATTGTCTTACATACTGATGGTCATCTTTACGCACATTTAACCAGTCATATTCGTTTCACTCTGCATAAGTCCCAACTACATATATGAACATGGTAACTAAGATTATTAATTCTAAATTTAAATCAAACATATTGTACAAAATAACAGGACAATGTGAAATATCATTTATTTATTATGATTTTCCTTAATATTCCATGTCTGGAAAACCTTTTTTTTTTAAATTCCCCTGATATTCCTCGTTTTCCTGTGGGACCCTTATAGAGCAAAAGCATTTGCTATAAATTTTAAAAAGAATGATTTTTTCTTTTAAAAAATATTTATTTCCTGCACAAATACATAACTATATGATTTAACAATTTGTTCATGAATTGCATAAAATCTTGTCTACAAAAACCTGCCACACATTCATTAATGATCTTTTACTATTTTCAAACGCTTTCATAGCCCAATTAAAAATTGATCCATCTAAATTAAACTCTTCACAACATCACTTACAGAATTCATTGCACTTGACACCTACTGGTATTCATAATATTCTATTACATTTAAATGGCAAGTAATAATTTATCAGCATAATTTGAATATAATTTAAATAATTTAGATCCACCTGGCATCTGCAACATCAAAACAATGTTTAAAACAATTTACATCCATAATTATTATTGAATTTCAACACCACTATAAATATCACATTAACATAAAATATTACCTTGTTAACATTATCTTAACAATGATCTTTTATGCATGTTGTTACATTTTTATATAAATTTTACATTATTTTACCTTACTTTTCCAGTTCTCACTCTTATTCTTTGCTTTTCCAGTACAGAAAAATCAAGTAAAGTCCTCTCACATGGCTTGTTATGGCTGATATTTTGTTTTTCTCGAGCTTTTAAGATTGAAGAATTTTTTCTTTGTTCATATTTGATTTTTTCATTTTCCTGGTGCTTTTTGTACTAAAATTAATTATTTTCAACTGCAGGCAATACTACTTCATGGGGATTATACTTTTATTAGTCATTAATTTTAGCCACCACTACATGAATATACAATTGAATGAAGCAACTGTTTTTACAGAATTTTTCATTAATTTCAAAATTAGAATCCATAATTATATGACATTTTAACATGTGGTAAATTCCCAAGTCAATTAGAGTATAGTTGACCTATATTACTCATCAAATGTGTGGGAATCACCAAGTACAATTTAAATTTAAAATACCGGTATATGTAGTATAGGTAAGTGAAATGTAAATGAAGGATTGGTTTGGTTGGTACAATGACTAAAAGCTGAATAAGGTCTATTGTACAAGTCAATCCTATCATTTTCTTCAAGGTTTTTAATTATTTCTATTATCATCAAAAACAATAGCAAGACAGTTAAAAACAAAATACTATAGTACAGTCAAGTAACCTAATTTCGTGCTAACCTATTTTTGTGCATTTCCTGAAAGGATTAATAATTTACATATCGTGGGCGACCGCTTGAAACCTTGTATATGCCTTATTTGGTCATTTTGACTTTTTTGTAACGTTCGAAAGCTCGTTAAAGCGTGGATCTTGTGATCAAAACCTCGTATTCTTAGCTTGATTGTAAATTACTCAAAAAGCACTAATTAAATAACACGTATTTAAACAGTCAGATTTAAACCCTCGTAAAATATATTATTATACGAGGTTCAATGTTCCTTTTCTGCAGATGAAAATGAAAAACCTTGTATACTGTATTATTATATGAGTTTTTGGTTCAATAGGCCGGAGAATTCAAATTGTTATACAAGGTTTACATTTTCCAAGAATGAAAACCACGTATAGCGGTAAAAAAAATTATAAAAAAGATATTAACAAAATACGCGTACAAATAGTTTTTTGCGTTTTTCTCGAAAAGTAATTCCACGTCATATATCGTTAAACGAGGTTTCAAGTTGTCACCCACGATATGCGACCTTGCGTGACCTCCGCATTTGCTTGTTTTGATAAACATGGTTTTTCTGTACAATCTCAGCTAGTAGAATGAATCCAGTAGTTTCAAGCAAGGTAAAATGTATTAATGTATACTTTGACTAATACAAAATGGCAGATTTCAGTTATTACCAAATGTCACTATTTTTCATCAACCGAATTTCCTTATAATCATAAGCGGTAATCGGAATTCTAAGTGTCATCTGCTAGAATGTCAGCAGAAAATTTCTATGGAACACAAAGTGGGCCATATTCTTATGTTGTTTCAGTGACTTTTAGCAATAAATCACGCTATGTATCTTATTTTGTCAGTCACTATTTTTTTTTTAAATCGTGGTTCTTTTAAGGAATAGTCACTAGTTATAATGAATTGATATTGAAGATAAATACTAAGAGAAGTTAATTATTCCACTCGGTATCCATACGTGTTTTTCTCAACTTATTTATAGATCAATCATTGTACACGAAAATAGGTGACACATTCTGCCGCCGTTGCCGAGTTGGTTGCTCATGAAATATGGGTTAAAGTGAGAGATCCATAAAGAAAATCGAAACAAATCAATTTTAATTATTTTGTAGAATATCTGAGGAAACATCTAAGACATAAAAAATTTTGAATCCCTATATCCACGAAAATAGGTTACACCACTGTATATGTAGAATGACTTTTCTGGGCCTTCAGAATTCATGAACTGGTCATCAGTGGTAAAGACTGTAATTTTAAGAAGTATACCCCACACATATTCAATGTCATCTTAACTTCCTATGTCAAGTATCATACTTGAATTGTCAAGCATTTTAACACATGCTGTTCTATATTCAATCATATTACCAAGCTATTGACTTCAAACAAAAAATACTAGTGTGAAAACATTTCAATCTAAATAGAACACTTGAATAATTTCAATTTACAAGATTATAAAACTAGACCTTCAGGATTTGATTAAAGACGCCTTCGCTCATTTTTCTTGTTCAAATCATGCTTACTAATTGATTAATCAGTGTTTCTAATGAATTATAAAAATATTCATTGAAAGGCTAAGGGAAGCCATTTTATCAAATCTGCTTTGATAAGCTAAATTTAAACTTTGTTCACATGACCAAATGACGTCATTATTACCGACTGTTCAGAAAGCGAGTGGCTGCTTCACCATGAGATTTTAACTGATTCTCCATAGACATCCTTATCCAAACATATTCTTGGATTTCTTGATCCCATTTCTTCTTTGTTCCATTCATTTTCTGAATCTGAAGCCTTTTTAAATTGTAAACTGTGCATTCTTCAAGCGACCATATTGTTGTTGTGAGAAAACAAAGGAATGCGGCAAGTGCACATGATGTGAGCATATTCAAACGATTATTAACCAATCACGGATGTCCCTGACATAATTCAATATTATTTTGAAGTTTATCCATAAACCTCTCAAATAATATGAATTATTAATTTTATATTGCTGTGACGCTCCCAAAGAAAGTGAAATGGTATCACAGATGATACAAAAATCATCCACCTGGGGTAAAGATATGAATACATAATTATATTGCATCCTTATAATTAAAATTAACATAATCTCTATTTCATAATATTGATCAGGAAACTTAGTAATCTGTTATCTATTTAAAAGATAATGGACCACAGCCATATACGCCCACCACGGCATGCGGATGGTACAAACGAAACATCCATTTTAAGTTTCATCAAAATCTGTTGAAAACTAAGAGAGTAATAGCATATTCAAGATTTTGGGGCAAGGGCAATAACTCTGCTTCGAACGGTTCAAAATAGCTCAAATTCAAATTTGATTTTCGTTTAATGAATATGTATACACATACCGAATTTCATTTGATTCCATCAAAAAATCTAGTTTTTAGAGAGTTTACACGCAAATGTTGATGGCCGTACAGATTGTATAGAAGTTAAAGGGCGATAACTCCTCAAAACTGACGTAAGAGGCCTAAATTTGGGGCAAGGGCAATAACTTTGCTTCTAACAGTCCAAAATAGCTCATATTCGAACTTGATCTTCGTTTAATGAATATGTCTACACATACCGAATTTTTTTAGAGCGTTTACAAGCAAAAGTTAGTAAAAAACTAGATTCTTACAGGTCAAACTAGGTCATCAGTAAGTTAAACATCAAAATTTCACTTTCCATCGGTATTTCTGAACAATGTAGAGCAACAAACCCTTCTACTGATCAAACATTGAAACAATTTCAAAACAAATTACAAAACTGACCTATTTCTACAAGGAACTGTGTGTTTTGAGGCCAACAGGGAAGCTATCTCAAATTATACCATGTTACTGAAGACACTGGAGACATCCTTGTACATGATTTTAATCAAATCTTTCTATATTTTCCTTTACTACTTTCTGTCACACTAAATAACATTTCCCTTTCAACTTTAGCATTTATGGAATTTTCAAAATAATTCATAGTAGGTTCTTTATGAACAAAATGTTTCAATTACTTACTTTTGACTTGCCAGTCATTAGTGTCCTGTAGTAGCATTACACTATTATAATCAAATCTCGATTCCGTTAACACGATATCATGCAATTTGATTGGATAACAGCCAGTTATGTGCATTCGATTTATATCTGTGTGAATTAGGCTCCACCCCTTAACAGACTACTTTTATTGTGAGTTTGATTGACATGGCCACTACACGGCCTCGATGTTGTTCCTTCGAACGTCAACAGAGCCGACACTTCACTGAATGATAACAGTGTTTTCCAATTTCCCTCGAATGTGCACACTCCAAAATTCAACAAAATCACGATTTCTGGACTTATTTCGAACTCATTTCAATATTTGCACTGTCCACGTGGCCGCTCCATCAAAATTCAGGCAGTAGACAGTAGACGTTAAATAGGGTGACCTACTTTCTGCTGATTGGCTGTTCTCTAGGACGTCTCTAATGCTAGTATCAGTCATTAGTTTTATGTTAAAATCTGATGAATTTATGAACCTACTTAGTGCCTTAAAGTGTTGTTATATGAAATAAACATTTAAACATATATTCGAGTTGATTTAATTATAAGGAATGACCTGAACAATTTTCAGTTTATCGATGTATATAAACAAAAAAAACCTGTGTTCACTTATATATAAATCAATATGCGGTGAAAAGTTTTCAGGTCATTCCTTAAATAATTTGTAATTTACAGAGTATGTTATACCACTTGTATTAAATTATCTTACCTAGTTTCAACTGTATATGATTTCACTTCCTCTAAAACAGTCTTACCACCTCTGACATTTGTTTCCCATAAATGAAGTGAGTTGTCACTGCAAAAACTTATCAAACGAGCCTATAATACAAAATAATTTGAATAAGGAACAATGGAAAAACACAAACTGGAACCCAAATAGATAGACTTTAGAGCATTATTTATCATGTATCAAATATTCAACTTTATAATTAAAAATAAATTAATGTTATAATAAACAAGTAGATATGTGTAAGACAAGGAGAAAAACTAACCTGTTCTTGTAAGAAAAACAACTGAACAACTGTTACATCTTGATCATGCTGTGTTGTAAATTCTACTCCAGGTCTACCAAGACTATCATAAGTTAAGGAATATGTATAATTTTGAACCAATTTTTAACATTAATTCAAGTTTATCATTATCTTATTTAACCTATTTGTACATTAATTACAATGACTGTCAACTCCAATTTTGGACTTCAGGAAATAGGAGAGTGAAACTATTCTCTTTCAAAACAAAGATAACACTGGTGTATTGTTTTTTAAATGTATTGTTAACAAAGTCTGAGATTTACAATACAAATTAGTATGTTTTGTTGAGGTCAAAAAGTTCTATAACCAGACATATTGACATAGGTGACATAGCTGCAGACTAGACATTTTATATCCATCCACAAAGAAAGATAGGTCCTGTTTTATTGTTTTGAAAGGAACTGAACTTAAATGCCTGCAGAATATTCAATCTCAATCTCCTTATGTAGTTGTAAAAAAAATAATGGAACATTTCATGCAGCAGCAACAAATTTCCTTTAAAAGCTGTGAAATGTGAATACCATGTATAATTGAATATCTCTAGCAGTGTAGACTATTTTTAGCTCAGTGACATGATCCATTACAAGGAAAAATCAATTGTTGGTGTCTGGCAAGTTAAAACTATGATTATATTATACTAGAAATGTGTTTTGATATAATTACAGTATCTGTTTAGTTGTTATTAATCATGTAAATTATCAACTTGGGTTGTTTCATTATCATTATAGGTCAAGAAACATATTTACTTAGTTTATATCAACCTGATATCGATTGTAGGCATCAGAAGATATAATTTCTAATAATAATTTCTAATTTGGATACATCTTCTGGGGTCAATACAGAAAAGAAATCATTAGAAAAGGTATATATCTCACTATTCACTCCTAGACAAAATAAGAATTATTTAACTATACAATGATTCAATAATTTATAGTCAGTTAGTACTCAATAGATTAATCTGTCTTAAGATAATCTTAGTATGTCACTAGAGTACATCACGATTAATATCTGTATCAGTAGTCAGATATATTCAACCACAAACCAACAAACAAAATTTTACAATAATGGTTGAACTGACTATCATTTAATTTAATTGATGGTTCATATGGAAATTGGTTGAAAAAGAAATTACATTGGTAAATATCACAAGGGTTAATATAATGAATGCACTTAAATTCAAACATAGATCTTTATTTTAGTTCTATATTTACTACCAAGATCTATCAAAATTCTTTATTTACAAGGAAATTTGAATGGATGTGGTTGCTGACAATATACACCCAAAGAGATAAGCATAAACATAAGACAAATTCCATTATTTCTCAAATGGTGACTATTTTATCCTTTCTATACTTGTTCACTACTTGACAATTAACCTTTATTTAGGTCAATGTTAGTTAATGTGAATAAAGAGACATGGGAAATCTAATAATAATTTAACCTTCTGACACCTATTTACCTTTTTTAGCTGTCATCTATCATAACAATTGACCTGTATCATAGAATTATGATGGTTTTACCATTTATAACATTTTAATCAAATATGTCCAGGATTTCAATTAGTTAACATTTTTGACCCGATCAAAAACAATTTTAACACAATAAACAAAACATTCTTAAGTGTAATGTGATGCATTAACTTGCAGCACAGAATGAATATTTTTCAAAAGAAAACATGACTGAAGCCGCATCACTTTACCACAAATGACAATAATCCTACTGTAAAACACCTGTTTATTCTACAGTGTCAATAATGGGATGACTTGGTTGAAAATGTTTCAATTCATTGCACATGATAAACCAACATTTCATAATCACAAACAACTGATTTTGAGTTCAGTTGTGATCATTTTAGAAAATATTCCCTATAAGCTGTGAACAAAAATCCGATTTGGTTCTTTGTACCCTGCACACCAGATTTTGTGTTTAAGTATGTGTCCTGGTCAAAAGTACAGATGCACAAAGCTTCAAGAAATTTTCACTATGTTATAAGCTTACACAATAGCAATAGGCTACGAGATCAAGGTTGATATATGTAGAACTTAGTCAAAAAGGTTGGACAAGCTGTGACCAATTGAAACCTTTGTGACTAACACCATGAGAATTTTTCATAACATAAAAAATCCAATAAAAATTCTTCTCTAAGTTTATTTGTTTCATCTACTATGTTCTCTGTTATGGTTGAAACCTACTGTAAGACCAGTCACAATCACATAAATGTGTTATCCCCATAAGCTTAAGAGTAATTATAACTAACTTTTTCAACCAGGGAACAGATTTGAGCCCAAATCAGACAAGCAACTTCCTTTTCAAAACCCTTCTACATGCCTCAACACTCCTACAAAAGCGATGTGTGATATATCAATGCTTGGCTTTAAAAACAAATGCAATAGATTGATAAATGGTACATTAGTGCATAAAGAGTTCAGCAGCAAGTTTGTGAGCTGAAATGTCAGGAACCATTACATGCAGATAATCTATGTACAATGACAAGCACAGTCGATAGAATTAAATCAATAAATTACAACCAAACAGCCAGCTATTAACTAACATGGCAAATACTACAAAATCTGCTGACTTGACAGGAGTAATAATAGCAAGTTAGCTGCAAGATAGAATCTACAACTATCTTACCAACAAAGCTAAATAAACCCTCCATTAAAATTCTATATTCTGAGGTGTAAATCTTTAAAAGTTGATAAACTGGTATTCAAGATGAAAGTAAGATGCAATGTTAAGCCACTTAATGTTCTAAGCCACTTACAATTTAATATCATGGTTCCATATTAGTTATTAGTTAGCTACTGACATTATTTAGAGTATTCAATTTTACAGGTAGTAAAGATAGCTTGCCAGGCAAGGTAACATACGCCCACTGGCAGCTGTCAGAAATGATAAAACAGCCTTTAGTGACTAAAGAATGAATTTTCTCATATTAAAGAAATTTAATATTAATATCAAAAACCCAAATACATCAAATTATCGCATCAATATACATGATCACACCATGTTTCATTAACATCAATTGAAAACTGTAGTCTCTAATGTGTTCACAAACATATATTAGCCCAAAAACCGTTCATTGAAAGATCGTCAAATTCGAACTTGAAATTCTCATCAATATAAATGATCAAACCAAATTTCATTAAAATCAGTTGAAATCTGTAGTCTCTATTGTGTTCACAAGAAATGTTGACGCACCGACGGACAGGGGCGGTGGCAATATACGTCCACATTTCCATGTGGCCATATAAAAACCAAAAAGCTGTTAGAATTGATGTTAAATAACTCTAGGTGGGCTCATACCTAATGATTCCACAACACCACCTCATTACTAATAGTATTAGTTTATAATATAGGAGAGATGGTATGTAAAACATCTACTCTATAATAATATCACAGATTCTCAAATTACTGACCCACATTTTTCACAAGATCTCTTTTTTATCAATGAAGTCAATCCCTTTCAAACTCTTCATCAACCTGTATCCTAATAAAGCTGTTAATAGTTAATCCTTCTGTTGTTAGAGATCATTCAAGCATCCATTAATAAAGATGAATTTAATTTCTTATTAGCTTACAACTCTTATAGGTGTTGTATATTAGATCATTAAAGACTTACTATTGACAACTGACAGATATGATCCTTGTATTCTGTATCAAGGATCCAATATATAGGTTATCTTTTTATCATTAACAGCCATTTTGTTTCAGATTTCACTCCCCCAAATGGAAGCATAAAAATCGGGGCATTCAGCTTTTTTCGTTGTTCCTACTTAACTCTTCAATTGGAAGCAAAATTTCGAAAAATATACCTTCAAGAGAAACTGACATATTATTAAGTTGTCATTTAAAAGTTCAAAAAGTATTTATTAGACAGAAATATGATATTTGGAAGTTGGAATTTCAATCATATCTACAAAGTTAAAATGTTATCTTTGAAATTATCTCAGCGTATTAATGAGTTTTTTATACCAGAGTAGATATTTAGGTTTGTGGGACATACAGTCTATGTCTGTTACATGATTAACCTATCACAAGGAATAAGCTGAAAATCAAACTTTTTAAAGGATACACTTTCAATACTCCAGATTTAGTACCAATGGCCAGCAGACGCAATTTAGGATCATAAGCCATAGCACTTGGTTTGCTGGGAAATCCATGATCAATGCACTAAAATATAATGAAAATTAAGTTTAAATTATAGCAAAATAAGCTGTCCAACAATAAAATTGTGAAGAAGGGCACTTCAGTAGAATTCCTCAGATTAAACGACCCAGAAAAACAATCTGTTAATTTAAGAGGTCCATTGCAATTGAGTAGCCCTCAGTTCTTTTGATCAATTGTAATCCATGCACTTTAAGACCAAGTGAGGAGTAATAAAGATGGAGGGGTCTTTAGTTCATTGTTTACATAACAAAGAGTAGGGGATTCCCTCTTCTAAGATATTTACTCATGCATGCCAAGCAACTCTATGGGAATACTTTTCCACCTATTCTTAGACAGGTTGAAATACAAAAATTATAAAACAATGGCAAACACATAATAAAACAGGCCTATTGGTCAGTTTACAAAAAATATGAGCTGGACTGGTACACAGGTTTTGCAAGACCTTCTTGAAAATCAAAGACTTGTTACTGTTAATGCGTGTTCCACCGGTGTATACACCTTATGTTATGTTACGCCATTATTACTACAACTACAAATATTGTACCTCTGTCCTGACATTATTCACACAACATTTTGAATGACTCATTTTCTGGTTATCCAATATGGCTGCTGACAAGTTACTGTCAACAGTATTAAGGTTCAAAACTAGAGATACATTAGCTCATAAATACCTTTCTGAATCCGAACAATTCCTTCTTCAGTTTTTCACGTTCCTCCCCCTCCTTTGGAGGGTGTTTCTTGAAAAATTTAAACATTTTGCTAGCTCCAGAACGAAGTCAATTCTGTGAATGAAAAATAAAACAATGAACGCAGCTGTTACGAGCTTTATTATTGTCAACATGTGAATCGAAACGTCAAAACAGGCATGGAATATCTTCCTTAGTCACAGTGCCACGGCATACAAGTTCACAACAAAACAACAAATACAATTATTACGTGTGTAAAATGCATCACCGTCTCCTCCGATGAGACAACAGAGTCATTTAATGTCGCGATTTGAAAGCTAAAGTACCATAAATTTGTCACTTACCTACTAAATTAGTTGCAAGTATTCCCAGTGGTCGTTAAAAAGTAACATTAGCCCTCAGACAGAAAGCGTGGAGTAAAAGTTTAACACCGCGCCAATGGCTTCGTGTACATAAACTACTTAGTCAATATAGTAAATGTCTAACTACGCCAAACAGGTGCCCGTTTTAAATCTTTCATTTGTTATCTATTCTCTGTTTACGTATTTTTCATGTCTAATGCATGACAATTATTATTGTCATGCTGTAATCCCCAAAAGTTTAATATGTATGCAGATATGAATATTTGAATACAAATTGATATTGGAACTATTTTGTTATTGACTAATGCGTAAGCTGTGTAGTAATCGTGTGTTATTTAGACCAATGAAATCGATTGACGACTTTATGTCGGGTCGAATTCACCTGAGTGAAAGAAAAGAATTTTGCCGGAAGATAAATCGATCCTGATAAAATATAACGTTTGAATATAATATGGGATTGATCAAGATGACGAACACAAAATAATAAAGGGCGATTAGGCTTCTATTTATAAACATTCATTGATATTATGCGACAATTACAAGTTAATGCCATATGTATACATGTATTATTACAGCTCTACAACAAAAGAATTTAATTTGAAATTCAATAGAAACTTTAGTTCCATTCTTCATACTGACCTTGTACAGGAGATTTGATATGAGAAAAAAAACAGTCAACAGTAAATAAAGATGTATTCTGAATATTTACGGGTATCCATATAGGCCAAAGGCCTTAGCTAAATTTTAGAATATATCAGAGGACCTTGTTTACCAACCTTTTCGTACTCTGTCTATCCGTTTTGTACATGATTATGGCCCTGGTACTATTATATAAAGCACTCTTAAAATAGGCTTCTATTGAAGTAGGCTAGCCTACCCAATGTAGGCCAAATGATCACCGGGGCTAGGCAACTCGTACTACTAGATTGGGTACCACGGTTAAACTTTACATGAGCCAAATTGTTGATGGAAAGTGTCTTTGTTTTTGTTTAATTGGCCACTGTAGGACTATGATAATATGACCAGATGTCTGCTATCAGATTTCAATATTGATATAAAGACTGATCTGCCTATTTACTATAAAGACGGTAAAGATAAAAGAAGATATTAATACCAATGTTAATTACTATTCTGATTAATTGCAGGGCGTTCGAACTGCTTTGTTTTCGTACTTGTTTTCGCAAAAAGTATGAGTTTGTATCGAGTACTCTGCAGAAACGGTAATTATAGTTACTGCAAGATTAGCAATGCATTGGATCTGCATATTCGGTGTTTTAACTAATGAATATAAATTGGAACAATTTTGCAAAACAGATAGTGGCACATTGCAAAATGTGCAAAAAGTAGATAATTGACTCTTGAAGGCGCAATTTTGGAGCGATTTTGCTCGGGTTTTCAGTTTTAGAACTTCACCCGACCAAATTTTATATTTTCTCCGCTATACGTCCGATTGATTTGAAATTTCTGGTGCGAAAACATATCACAAAAGAAAACAAATTGACACAATCAAAAATTTTGCATCACTTCCGGTTGGTGCGAAATCAAGGTTCTAGCTTCCGGTTGACCCACTTCCGGTTTTTATGCATGAAGGTCACTGAAACTTATACTAATAAGTAGATAACGTTATGACTTTAAAAACAGAAGCATTTACTAGACACGAAAATTGATAGTTTGGCCGCCATTTTGATTTTTCTGAAATTATCAAAAATTTTATTCAGAGATTATGGCTTATCCGATTTTGATAATTTTGGTGTCAAATGAAAGAACATAAAAATTTAAGAAAAGTCTAGGAAGCCAATTTTTGAATTTCGTTTTTGCTTTTTCGCAATTTCCGGTTCAATTTTTTCGAAATTTGAAGGCTCATATCTCGTGACCTTGACCTTTGATGAGCCTCATATTTACCATGATGATAATAGCTGACCTTGACCTTCTTATGACCTTTTGACCTTTTGGGTCAAACCACACCTAAATATGGCCACTTTTGCACTTTTGCAGTGCTGTATCTTAATCCCTAATTGTATTAGCATGCTACCACCTTCAGATTATTTATGTACTTATTCAATGGTTTCAAATAATATCGCACTTGATGATGTCAAAGCCATATTTAAAAAAATGTTGTAATTTTCATAAAACGTTGAACGCTTCTATCTCAAGAGCTGTACCTTGGATGATGATGATATTTACAGTAATAATTAATACCGACTACAGTTTTTAGATGATGTTAATATTTTTCATGTCCGACACGTGGTTCTGGTTTTATGGGTGTCACTAAAAGTTGAGTTTGCATCTTTAAAGCCTTCTAACAGGTGACTTAATAAAGATACAGCAATATTATTTTCGGATTCATAATGCTGAGATCTTGAGCTTTCCAGTATATAACACTTATGCCTTACATGCAAATTCAAAATCCCATTCACTTAACATGGTGTAATTACTGTAGTCTGTCATCGGTCTGTCAACTCTAATTAAAATCAAAATGCCACACCCCTTTTATATTTGTTTAATATATTTTATGTCCTGCTATAATATATAAATAAACTCTGGGATGGATTGAACCATGTTATACTGTGATTTGAGCTTACCCCCACTTAATTTCACAACTTTATTTCTTATCCAAATTTCACCAAACTTTGTATACATGTTTGTGTATAGTCAAATTCTAAATTTGATGAATATATCGAATTCTTCTTGTGCGCATGCACATTACTAACTTTCTTATTTCTTATCCAAATTTCATCAAACTTGATATGTATGTGTATAATCCAATTCTAGATTTAATGGAAATATTGAATTCTTCTTGTGCGCATGCACATTACTAACTTTCTTATTTCTTGTCCGAATTTCATAAAACTTGGTCTTTATTAATTGACAAACATTCTCTTATTCTTAGTCAATATACTTTAAATTCCACGCACTTCCGCATATTTTCATTTAGAGATACAGAAAAGTATTTACATCAATGTAATTGCAATAGACCATCTTCGTATATACCTGAATGTCGTAACACGCCCTGCATCAGTACTGTTATTTGAACAGTTCTATTTGCAGGGCGTTCGTAAGCGAACGCCCTGCTTTGTTTTCGTAACGATTATTTTTTTTTTCGTCAGCTAGGGAGCTTATTTCTCGGAACCAGAAATAGGTACTACAAAATGGACTTCATGACGTTTTCTAACTCGTGGCTATTCACGTATTAAATGTAAAACAAAAATGTTCTGCGCAACCGGAAGTGAGATAGCAAAAAACAGGAAATGGACTGTAGAGGGCGTATTTATCGTTCGATTTTGCTCGGGTTTCCTTTATTATAATTCTTAGTACAAAGGACATATGATAGCAGTTGAAAATATTCGATTTTCCAAAATTCATTCGATACTTTTTTTTGTCAAAATTAATCGAAAAATGCTATTTCGGTTGCTTTTTGACGGATCGATTTGAAATTTTTATGGCGTAGACCGTCGGTATGGGCAAATAATTCTGCATAGTCAAAAAATGTTTATCACTTCCGGTTTCGATATAAGTACTTCCAGGTGGCATCACTTCTGGTGAAATTGAGTTATGTAAGAAATGACATATGCATAAGCTTAGTGTCACTAATACAAAGTGTTATAACTAAAAAAAATCGTACCGGAAGTAACGTATAGGTCGCCATATTGGTTTGCCTCAATATGCAAAACTTGCTATTTTGGAGCTATTTATTATCCGCTTTGAACAATTTTGGTGTCAAATGATAGAATTAACGTTTATCTAAAACTTGTTGAGGACAGAATTTTGATTTTCAGTTTCGCCTTTTTTGTACGACCGGATATTTTTTTTTAAAGTTTGAAGGCGTATATCTCATGACCTTGACCTTTGGTGACCTTCATACTATGATGATAATTTGTGACCTTGTCTATCTGATGACCTTTTGACCTTTGGGGTCAGACAACTATTTTTGATTTTATAGGGGTTTAAAAATGGTCCATTTTGAACCTTTGCAGTGCTGTATCTCGTAGCCTAATAGTGATATAGCAATAATTCTTTCGATTCCACAATGCTGAGATTCTGAGCTTTCCAGTGATATACAACATGTCTATGTAAAATTCTATTCGTTTAACATTGTGGTACCAAATTTAAGTTGGTTAATGAGATGTCAGTATAGATGAAATTCCTGAGTTTGACATGTCCGTTAAAAAACCATTCTCCCCAATTTCTATCAGAAAGTTCGTCAACTCCAGGCACTTTTAGATATTTGCATTTGGAGATGCAGAAAAGTATTTACATCAATGTAATTGCAATAGACCAACTTCGTATGTACCTGAATGTCGTAACACGCCCTGCATCAGTACTGTTATTAGTACAGTTCTAGTTATCTTTGAAATGAAATTATTAACAGTTTTTAGCGATAAGAAGGTGATGATGTAGACCTTTACTATAAAATAGCAATTGCACACCAATAAGGGGCTGCCATACAGACGACCATATTAAATGGCGTTATAAATACGTAGATTAAGCTACCAATTCAGATAAAATCTTGAGCAGATAAATGTTAGTCCATCTGATTTCAGATAAAATTTGTGATAACAGATAACATAAGATATCAGTGTCCATAATTAACAATAAGATGCAGATTACAATATTTTTACACAATTTTCTACACTTAGCTTTAAGACTTCCTTAACAGAAGATTCCTTATCACTCCAATAGGTTATAACAAGGGATCGAATGATGATA